TCTTCCTCCCTCAGAGCACCTGGTGGGTGCTTAACCACTGCTCTACCACAGCTCCTGACATAGGAGCCAGGAGCTGACAATCAGGATTCTGTCATATCATCCTTATTGCCAAAATCGCCAGTAAAAATCCAGGCACACAGCTGGCAAGGGAGTGGGGTCCATAATGATATAGTGGGATAACCCACTGGTAGCAGAGCACAGCCCTGTCACACAGCAAGTGTGCTCAGAAATCCAGGCAGGCGGCAGGCAGTGTGCAGGTGACTTGTCAGTGGGGAGTGCGGCCCCAACGGAGTCTGGGTGCAGTTCCCACCCCTGGAAGAGTGGTGGCAAGAAAAGTTGGCCTTTTAGGAGGTGGCAGGGACCACTGCAAAAGCTAGGTTATAAGCCTGTGGGCCCAGGCTCAAGCCTAATCTTTGTGAAGGATTCCCCATCTTCACCTTGCAGCTGCCCCTTGGTATGGGGCTGTCATTGTCCTGCTTTTCCTAGCCAGGCTTTTTTTTTTTTTTCTTGGTCACATCCTGTTTTTTTTTTTGTTTTTTTTAATTGTACTTTAGATGAAGGTTTACAGAACAAATATCTTTCTCGTTAAACAGTATACATATTGTTTTATGACATTGTTTAACAACCCCACAACACATCAACACTTTCCCTTCTCACCTTGGGTTCCCTATTACCAGCTTTCCTGTCCTCTCCTGCCTTCTAGTCCTTGTCCCTGGACTGTTGTGCCCCATTAGTCTTGTTTTGTTTTATGGGCCTGTCCAATCTTTGGCTGAAGAGTGAACCTCGGGAGTGACTTCATTACTGAGCTAAAAGGGTGTCCAGGGGCCATACCCTCGGGGTTTCTCCAGTCTCTGTCAGGCCAGTAAGTCTGGTCTTTTTTTCTGAGTTAGAATTTTGTCCTACATTTTTCTCCAGCTCTGTCCGAGACCCTCTGTTGTGATCTCTGTCAGAGCAGTCAGTGGTGGTAGCTGGGCACCATCTAGTTGTACTGGACTCAGTCTGGTGGAGGCCGTGGTAGTTGTGGTCCATTAGTCCTTTGGACTAATCTTTCCCTTGTATCTTGTTTTCTTCATTCTGCCTTGCTCCCGAAGGGGTGAGACCATTGGAGTATCTTAGATGGCTGCTCACAGGCTTTTAACACCCCAGACTCTACTCACCAAGGTAGAATGTAGAACATTGTCTTTATAAACTGTTATGCCAATGAGCTAGATGTTCCCTGAGTTGGTCACATGTTGTATTATTACATTTATATGAAATATCCAGAATAGGTAAATCCACAGAGACAGAAAACAGATCGATGGCTACCAGGGACTCGGGGAGGAAGGAATAGGGAGTGACTGCCTAATGGGTATGGGGCCTGTTTTGGGGCAATGAAAACGTTTTGGAACTAGGTAGAAATGGTGGTTGTACAACAGTGTGAATGTATTAAATGCCACTGAATTGTACACATTAAAATGCTTAATTTTGTATTATGTGAATTTAACTTCAATAGAAAAAAACACAAATCACGGGGGACTTTTATAAGAAGACGGGAGAGTATGAGAGGGAGATGTATAGGTATCACATACTCCCAAGGATTTTTTTTTAATTGTGGTAGATATATAGGTAACAAAACATTTGCCATTTCAACAATCCGCACCTCTACAGTTCAGTGGCATTAATTATGTTCAGCATGCTATCCAGCCAGCACCCTTAACTGATAATTGAATTTTAGGCTTTTTGAAGGCATTGCCTGCACTTGTGCTGTCTGCTTTTCTGCTTACAATCCATCTTCATTCTGGTGCACGTGACGTCCCTCCCCACTACCCCCTGGACCAAGGCTGCCCTTGCTCACATCCCAGTTATCTCCCCCAGGAGCCAAATCGAATGGATACTTTGCTGCCCTTATCTCTTGTGCCCAACTGCCATACCACCTTGCATGCCCCGGAAGAGGACATTAGTGGCGAGGGGTATGAGACTTAAAAGCACTTACTGAGGTTGTTAAGAATCTTAGAAAAACCTCAAAAGCCTTGATCATTTCCGTCAGGATATGCCAAGGAGATGAGGGCTTTGGCAGTTCAGCAGTAGAATTCTCATCCTCTGTTAAGGAGACTGGCGTTCGACTCCCGGCCAGTGCACCTTATGTGCAGACACCACCCATCCGTCAGTGGAGGTTTGCATGTTGCTGTTATGCTAAACAGGCTTCAGGGGAGTGTCTAGACTGAGAGGGACTGGGAAGAAAGGCCTGGCGATCTGCTTCTGAATATCAGCCAGTGAAAACTCTATGGATCACAATGGTTCAATCCCATCGTTCGTGGGGTTACCATGAGTCCAGGGCTAATGTGATGGCAGCTAACAATAACCACAAGATGCCAAGGAAGGTTAGACTGGACTACATCTCTGAGTAAACAGAGCCTGCCTGTGCTGAAGTTACCAGCCAGCCACTCCTCATGAGGTGTTGGTGGAGTAAACAGCACCTTTTCACCTATGCCAGGCACAGGAGTATGAAACCCCTTTCCCTCTGCCGTTGCTGGTGAGATAAGGCAGCAGCCCCACTGCAGCCAGAAAGATCTTCCTGAAACACCCTTTCCAGCATGTTGTTCCTCTGTTTAAGTCTCTGTGAGCTGTAGTTGTATACTTCTTCTTTCTTGCTAAGTCCACGTCCCCCTTTTGAAGGCTTGGTGTAATCTGCTGTCTGGGTATTTGTTGGAAATATTTAACAACCAGTATAGCAGTGTTGCAGTATTTTAACAGCTCGTAAGACTGTACTGGTACGCACCAGCTGCATATAGGCCTCTGCTGGCATCTGATTACACAGTAACACAGGCTGCTATGCCTGTTGCCTGTCGGGCCTGTTTCTGCACTGAGCCAAGTCTTAAAGCCCTAGCTGCATCGTTCCCCTCCTTGGAATGTGCTCCCTCCTCCCTAGTCAACTCCAGTCTCCTCCAGAGGCCCTTGAATTGAATCCATCAATTAGTCCCGAGTACCTGCTTGTTGGTGGACTTAACTCCCTGCCTCTTATATAAAATCAGTTGCCACTGAGTTGATTTCAACTCATGGCAACCTCGTGTATGTCACAGTAGAACTGTGGTCCATAGGGTTTTCAGTGGCTGATTTTTTGGAAGTAGATCACCAGGCCTTTCTTCTGAGGTGCCTCTGGGTAGACTCGAACTTCCAACCTTTCAGTTAGCAGCCAAGCGTGTTAACCATTTGCACCACCCAGGGACTGCTTCTTAGATACTTGCTTCCTTTTCTCCTTTGCTCCTGGGTTCAAGGGAAGCATCAAGTAAACAGAATGGAAGAGCTGAGTCAAGCATGTATAAACCTCTCAGACCACAAAGGTTTCCTAGAGGGCATTCCTGTGTGTACTGCTATAGCTTGATAAGCTTTGAGTGGCTTGTGTGCCATATCTCGTCAGGGCCCTCTGAAACCTTTGTCCTGGAGTGCACCCGAGATCCATTCTAATTTGGGACAAACAGTTTCTCTGAAGTTGTTGCTTAGACATTGCAATACGGATATGGGAATCTCAGCCATTTCCTCAGACTTGAACTTTTGTCTCTGAGCAGTCGTTGGGGAATTCGGTTGAATGTATACAGCAGAGTGAATGTTAAATACAGTAAGGCTTTGATGATTAAAGGTCCTAGCTGACAGGTAGCTCTGTGTTTAAAGTAAACAGTGGTTTAATATCCCCTTATTCTTCTTTCAGAATCTGTCAACATCCCAATCTTCAAAGGCCATTTTATAACCTGTGGATTTAGGCATTTCATCCAAGGAATTCAATATTTAAGATCTGATAAATATGCTTGTCTTTTTTTTTTTTCCTTTCTTTAATTCATATAGTATCTATTTGGAATTCCATAAAATTTTATTTCCATGAGAAAGCAATTGTAAGCTCTTGAATCTAGAAACTTGCAATATAATTTATATAATAATTGTGGAGATTTAGATGTGTGTGTGTGTGTGTGTGTGTTTTTAAGTAGTAAAAACTAAAACAAGTCAGGGATATTTTAGACATCTGAATAATACTAAATACGTTTTCTTTCACAGGTACATGAGGTGGTATTTAACCTAGTGCTAACATCAGTCGCCATCGAGCCGAGTCTGACTCATGGCGACCCCATGTGTGTCAGAGGAGAACTGTACTCCATAGGGTTTTCGGTGGCTGATTTTTTGGAAGTAGACTGCCAGGCCTTTCTTCTGAGGTGCCCCTGGGTGGATGATGTGAACTGCCAGCCTTTCAGTTAGCAACCGAGCATTTGGCTGTGTGCACTACCCAGGGACAGTGATTCAGCACCCCCTAAACTGGACCCATGGTCCAGTGAGGAAAGGAAAGAAGGGGACAATGACTACTGAGCCAATTCTCTAAGAAATGACTGAGAACAAAATCTGGTACTTCCTATCGCCTAACAAGTTGGTGGGTTTTATCTGGAAGGTTTGGGGCATTCACTGCATGGCACTGCATCTCTGCCTTTGTTGCTTCTTCCAGAATTGAATTACGCAGATTCTGCCATCTGGATGGAATTCTCAGCTCCAAAACAGGGTTTTGAGCTCTGTCTGCTGCCGTTGGAAGGCTGCAATGTATCCTAATTGTGTGGCTCAAGTAATGAAGGATAAACCATAAGTGTATATCCAGAGGCATCTCAGAAGAAAGGCCTGGTGATCTACTTCCAAAAAATCAGCCATTGAAAACGTTATGGAGCATAGTTCTACTCTGACCCACATGAGGTCACCACGAGTCTGAATCAACTTGAAGGCAGCTGGTTTGGTTTAGTTTATGTGTCTAGAGAACGTTACAGCCTCTGGGCCAGTGGTTTTCAAACCGTGCTCCAAGGAGCCCTTAAGGAGCTGCAGGGCCGGGGTTGGGTGAGGTAATGAGCTTGTGGGGGACCCTCCATCCTTGCTTATCCATGTCAGCTCATTTCCATCATGGGCTTCCATGTAAGCAGTCATCGGAAGGAAGGGTGCCAGGGCCAAAGAGAGTTTGAAAACCACCTCGTTCATCTACTCCTCTCATTTTCCAGATGGGGAAGTTGAATATCAGGATAATGAAGAAAATCACCCAAGGTCACTTAGTAAGCTGGCAATTTCTACATCTTGGGTAATCCCCCGAGCAGACTACATTAAACTGTGACTTTTCTATTCCTTTTTAAAAAATAAAAAGGGTTCTTTATTAAAACTGCTGATTTTTAAATAACATTGAACAGTCATTACAGATGTAACAGTTTAAGAGTTTTTTTTTAAGCCCAGGAAAGCTATTTGCCCTCTGTGACAGTTCTCATCACTTTTCCCTTTTGAGTTTCAGGGACACCTGCTGTTGGAGAAGAGACTTGTTTACTTTTGTGTACTTGGCTGGCAGCTCCAGTTTTGGTTGAGAAACAGGCAGTGTTCTGGTTGTGAGCCACACCTACAGGGTACTTATCTCCCCAGTCCAGGTGAACAGTAGTGACCTCATGGTCTGACCTGATAGCTTTCCCCAAGGGCTCCTCCAAGTGAACATTTGTTCATAACTTGTCACTCAGCTGTGTCTGCCTAAGTATGAAGAAACAACTGGATTAAAATAGTGAGACATACGCCATCACTAGTTCATTTATTGTTAAGTATTTGTAAGGAAAAGACTATACACGATTAAGGGAAGACAGAAAGAGTAATAGTTTATTGCACATTTATTCTCCAGGTGCCATGCTCTGCATTTTACATGCGTTGTTCCTTTTATTTCTCAAAACCACCTGGGACTCAAACCTGGGTCAGACTGACGTCAAAGGCAGGGCTTTAAAGAAATTCAAACATCCAGGTATTATTAGATATGAAGTATTAAGTTTTACATTAAGTGGTGGACTACTAGCCAGAAGATTGGCTGTTGGAACCCACCCAGAGGCGCCTTGGAAGGCAGGCGTGGCTACCTGTTTCAAGGTCATGCCTTGAAAACCCTATGCAGCAGTTCTACTCTGAACACATGGGGTCGCCATGAGTCAGAACTGACTGGACGACAATGAACAACAATTAAGTTTCAAGCCTTAAATATTCACGGTTACCTCTTTAGGTTCCTGTTAGCTTCGTTCTGCTAACTCTGAGTATCTTCAAACTTCTGTCAGCACCCTACCCTCTCAGGGACAACCATGACTTCTAGTTCAGTTGACTAGATTTGTGTCCACTGAGCTGCCCTTTCCACGCTGGTCTTCCCATTGTTGATGAAGCTCTGACAACCTGCAGACTAGTCACAGAGAAGGCATTGCCTCCTCACTGAAATTTCTCACACTGGGAAGGAGCCAACTTCTTATGGCTAAAACCAAGGGAAGAAAACAAGTCAGCAGTTTTAACTCTGTTGGCTAGAATGAATGAAACCCTTGATAACTTTTTCTCGCCAGAAGAAACTTTCTCATCTGGCTCCAGAACTCTTCTTCTTCTGGGCTGTTTGCCCTTTGAAGTAATAAGCTGTGCTTTTTGTCTGCTGAGTGGCTGCCCCTTACCAACCCTCAGTCTCCCTGGAGTTCTTGATAGAGCTGGATTTTGCTAACATATTTGAAGTTATAAAAACCCAGTTGATTGCAACATAGCTTTTCAGAGTAAGTGGTTTTTTGTTCATCCCTGGGTCCCCATGCTGAGGGGCAGGGTTCACGTTTTGCCCTCTGCCTAGTCTGATCATGTAGTGCTTTACAGCTGCCTTCTTCTAAGCCTAGACTCTGATGTGTGGGTAGAGAATAAGGGTACATTGCTGGCACATAGTAAGTGCTCGGTAAAGGCTTGTTGAATGAATAAATGAAAAAAACACAGAAGCGGAACATGGTAAGTTTTTAAAACATATATAAAATATTTATCTCAGTGCCTTGCTCCCCAATTTGTAATTTTATCATCCAATTTAAGCTCTGCTTGATCTTATATATACGCTGGGATGAGAAAGTTTCTATCCTAAGCCACACAAATTTGCTTAACTCTCATCTGGAAAGTCTTCACACTAGGCACTAGGCCGAACTAGTCTTTCTGTAAATCCCTGACTTTTTTCCTTGATAAGAAAACAGAGAAATGAACAGCTGTGAAGAAATACAATGCAACTGAGGGTAGAATATTTATCACTGCATTTCTCTGTCCTGAAGAAAGTATGTTCTTAGTGGAGCTGTTTCTTCAATACATTTATGCAGCAAATATTTCTTTAGCAACAGTGCATGGGATTTAGGATACTCCTAAAGATTGCTTTTAAAGATACTATCTTAAGAAAACTGTATTGCTATCATATTTCATAGCATTTTGTTTTTTTTTTTCCTGTTTACGAAGTAATGCAATTGAGTAGCAAATTTAAATAAATTGTAAAAATGAAAGATTAGCCTCATTTCTTTACAGTATATTCGGTAGTAATTTTTATGCCCAGAATTTTTTTTTTTTACAAAGAACTCTTGAATAATATTAGGGGGTGTTTAGGTATAGTATAAATAAAAAGATGAGGAAGTTACCCATGGGTCACCACCATCTTAGAAATAGAGTTTGAGGGGAGAATGGGTTAAAATAATGCCTCTTGTTTTTGGCCAGTAAAAACAGCTGTCCTGAGTCATAGTGGCTATGGGTTGGCATCAGGCAATGTCTTGCTATGGGCAGGGTTTGAGACTACTGCCCTCTAGTGACCGCTTTTACACATTCCTGAACATTACTGAGAAAAAGAGTTGAAATGCACCGGATATGTTAAGCCTTTGTCGTGTGTGCTTCCAGGGTTTTGCGCCTACTAGAGTAAAAACTAAAAGTTGTTACTTTATTCAGTTGAAATCTGCAAAGGTAACCTTGTGAAGGCCACCGCTGTTAAATGTAGTTACCGCATGTGCATTATGTAGTTTGGGGAGAGCTTTTTCATTTGTCCTGCTTGGTTGATTGCAGGTGAGAACGCAAATGTAAAGAGTGATGTTTGATTTTTCTTTGCACATTTGCCGGAAAAAAGTTGTCCTTTTTTTCCTTTTGCAAACATAAGACCAAAGGATTTACTTTTTCTTTATTTGATGAATTTACAGCAGCATCAAAGGGTCATAATGAGATTTTAAAAAATCTTTTGGAACTTCTAGTCTGACAAGATGGCATCGACCCATTTCTCCTTACTGCTCCCTACTAAGTACAACTATAAACCCTGGAAACACAAGAGGCAACCAAAGGAGAACTCTGAGAAGTGGTAAGAGAAGGTAAACTGGCTTGGGGCCCCACAAGGGCATGGCATCTTCTTCTCACCCAACAAAGAAGGTGACCCAGACCCAGTGCATCCAGAGCCCCAATCTAGCAACAGAAGGTGGCCCAGGTAGGCTCATTTCTCCCAAGGATTGAATGGGAGTCCATCCAACATCACCAGGAAAGCTCAGCCCCTCCAGCAAGGGGGATCTATAGGGAGCACCACTAACAATAAGTAGCCAAGGGAAGTGTCTCCTTCCCCACTGGGCCTGAGACTCCCCTCCCCGGCCAAGTGATAGCAACGTGACCAGGGGCTACAAGGAAGAGGGACTCAGCTACAAAAAGGGCCTCAGCCTGGGAAGCCTCTTTGCCCCATGGACCTGAAATTCTCCTCCCCCACTCAGAGTCACAGGGCACGGGCAAAAGGGGTCCCACCACAACAAGCAGCCCAGCCTGGGAAGCCTCCTCCTCCCCGTGGGCCTGAGATACCTCTCCCCGACCCAGAGACACCTGGAGGCCTGGCCTGGGAGAAAGTCTTTCACCTTCTCAGGCAACACCAGCAGGGACTAGAGGGAGCACCTGTGACACCAGGTAACCAAACAGACCAAAGTAACACAGCAAAGGCTCAGAAAATTTAACTGTCATTGGAACCATAGCCCACAAAAGTAGTCCAGGACCTGTGTGCTAAATCCAAACAGTGACTGCCTGCTAAAATAAAAGATTTAAGTAGGACCCAGCATCTCCTAACACAATAGGCAAAATATCCAGGATACAACCAAAGACCATCTGTCATGGTAAGAGCTGAAATTCACAGCTAAATTGAAAAAAGGTAGTCAATTGATGCCAACACCAAGATGAATCAGATGGTGGAATTATCTGACATGGATTTTAAAGCAGCCATCATAGAAATATTTCAACAATCAATTACAAATTATCTTGAAACAAATAAAAAATAGAATATCTCTGTAAAGAAATAGAAGTTATAAAAAAGAAGGAAATGGAAATGATAGAACTGAAAAATACAACTGCCAGAAAATTGATAAATTGGACCTCTTCAAAACTAAAACCTTTTGCTCTCTGAAACGCCATGTGAAGAGGATGAAAAGACAGGCTACAGACTGGGATGAAATATTTGCAAATCACATAGTCAACAAAGGACTAGTATTGAAACTATATAAAGAACTCTCAAAACGCAACTGTAAACCAAAAAAGGAGGGATACTGTGTGGTTTAAAATTGGAAAAAGTGTGCACCAGGGTTGTATCCTTTCACCATACTCATTCAATCTGTACGCTGAGCAAATAATCCAAGAAGCTGGACTATATGAAGAAGAATGGGGTATCAGGATTGATTGGAGGAAGACTCATTAACAACCTGCGTTATGCAGATGACACAACCTTGCTTGCTAGAAGTGGAAGAGGGCTTGCAGCACTTACTGATGAAGGGCAAAGACTACAGCCTTTAGTAGGGATACACCTTAACATAAAGAAAACAAAAATCCTCACAACTGAACCAAGAAGCAACATCATGATAAATGGAGAATATACTGAAGTTGTCAAGGATTTTATTTTTACTTGGATCCACAAGCAATGCCCATGGAAACAGCAGTCAGGAAATCAAGGACGTATTACATTGGGCAAATCTGCTGCAAAAGACCTCTTTAAGGTGTTAAAAAGCAAAGATGTCACTTTGAGGACTAAGGTACACCTGACCCAAGCCAGGGTGTTTTCAGTCGCCTCATACACATGGGAAAGCTGGACAATGAATAAGGAAGAGTGAAGAAGAACTGATGCTTTGAATTATGGTGTTGGTGAAGAATATTGAATATACCGTGGACTGCCAGAAGAATGAACAGATCTGTCTTGGAAGAAGCATAGGCAGAATGCTCCTTAGAAGTGAGGATGGTGAGACTTTGTTTCGCTTACTTTGGACATTTTATCAAGAGGGACCAATCCCTGGAGAAGGACATCATGCTTGGTAAAGTAGAGGGTCAGCGAAAAAGAGGAAGACCTTCAACGAAATGGATTGACCTGGTGGCTGCCACAACGGGTTCAAACATACCTACTATTGTTAGGATGGCACAGAACCAGGCAATGTTTCATTCTGTTTTACATGAGGTTGCTATGGGTTGGAACTGACTTGACATCACCTAACAACAACAACAAAAAAAAAAATAAATAAACAATCCAGTTGGAAAATGAGCAAAAGACCTGAAGCGATTTTTCTCTGAAGAGGATATTCAGATGGCAAATAAGCGCATGAAAAATGTTCAACATCACTGGTCATCAGCGAAATATAAATTAAAACCGTAGTGAGTTACCTATCAGAATGGCTAAAATAAACGACAATGACGAAACCAAGTGCTGGTGAGGATGCAGAGAAACTGGATTGCTTATACTTTGCTGGTGGAAATGTAAAATGGTTCACCTACTTTGGAAAATAGTTAGCAAGTTTCTTGTAAAACTAAACATGCAATTACTATATGACCCAGCAGTTTCACTCTTGAGATTTATCCCAGAGAAATGAAAAGTTATGTTCACACAAAAACCTGGTGTAAGATGTGAGGCAGGGCGATAGTTTTATATTTTCCAAATGGGAGTCAGTTGTCTTAATACCATTTATTTATTTGCATCCTTTTCTGTCTGATTTGAAATGTTCCCCTTACTTTTTAGAAAATCATATTGTACGTTCTTATTTTTGGTTCTAGAGCCAGAGTGGTCTGGGTTTGACCTTGGTTCTGTACCTACTAGCTTTCTGACCTTGGGCAAGTTGTTGCGTTTTGCTTTGCTTGGTTTCCTCAGCTGAAAAATAGTGCCTGCTTCATAAGGTTGTCGTGAGGATGGAGTGAGGCACCCAGAGCTTAGTATACTTCGTAAAGTTTAGCTGCCATTACAACTGCTGCGATTCTAACGAGTGTTTCTACTGGGTTTAATTTCCATTTCTTCTGCTTTGTTGAGTTCCTTTCTGGAGAAGACCAGACCTTCTACTTCCTTGTTTTGCTCAGTTCTGGGCAAAAAAGTGATTTCTACTGGGACAGAGCCCTATAGAAATTTATTGTGATTAACACTGACCTAAAGTATGTGTAGAATTACTTCCTAGCATTTGGCTTCTGTTAACTTTGGGTATAGTTTTAGGCAAATTATCTAATCCTATTGACATATAATTTCCTCATTGTAAGTGTGTAGATTTGTCAACAGATGCCTTCTCATCTACACAGTATTTTGGTTTCTGTTTGAAGGCGCTCCTATGCAGTCTCTACAAATAATCTTATAATGGAGAATCCCAAAGGAGCCCTGGTGGTGCAGTTGTTAAAGTGCTCTGCTGCTAACCAAAGGTCGGTGGTTCAAACCTTCCAGCTCCACCGTAGGAGAACGATGTGGCGGTCTGCTTCCGTAAAGATTACAGCCTTGGAAACCCTATGGGGTAGTTCTGCTCTGTCCTATCGGGTCGTTGTGAGTTGGAATCCACTCGATGACAATGGGTTTGGCTTTGGTTTTAACTGGAGCTATGTCTGTGAGAACATATTGTGTAGAATGTTTGTTAGCTGTCAGTTCAGCCAAATGAAACCATTTTTTGATTGTTGGCTTTTCACCAAGGTCCATGCTGTATATCAAGGGCGATGTAAACTATGGAAACACATGATTCTTGTACTTAAATTGTTGATAGTCAAGTTGAGAAACTCAAATATGCAGACAAAATAAGAGGGGACAAAATGAGGCAGTGTTAAATTTCATAACTGCAACAAAGAGAACTGAACAAATTCATTGAAGAAAAGACCATCTATTTGAGGAAAGAGCAAATGTCTACTTTTCCTGTGTCAGAATTCTCTATGAAAAGATTAGCTTTTGAAGAAGCTATTACATTCTGGGTGATGCTAAAAATAGTACTTAAGGAATAGAAATGTGCATGTTATTTTACATTTGCTAGGCAGAAGAATAACATAAAATTTAATCAGATCTTAGAGGAAACATTTTTATAACTGTTTTTACTAGACTCCAGAGTTTTCTTATTGTGAACACTCACAAAATTACCTGTAGAGTTTAAAGTTATTTTTTTAATTGACCTGTTGACCACAGGTACTGATAAGAAGGTATAGAGCAATACTCATAATAAGAAACAGATAACTGCTCAATTGTAATTTAAGGTGGTTCTCTTGGAATTTTTCCTTTCATGGTATATCTAAAGAGTTCCCTACCTTTTCCCATGGCTTTATCTCTGCCTGTAGATTCTCAAACAATTCCCTAAATAGAAATTTGAGTTACTTTGCTAAGATGAGATCCTTGATCTTTGTGGCCAAGTGTAGGGATATGTGATTTCTTCCTTCAAAGAATGAGTTGATTGAAATATGTTCTCTCTCAAACTTGGACATCATGAATGAATATGGATTATGTGATAACCCCTTACGACCATCCCAAGACAACAGCAGCCTGAGCAAAAATAGGATTTAATAGGATTCAGAAATTAACAAAAACAATTTTAGAATTACATAATGTTATAAATGAGTATTTTCTTGATACATTGACATGTTTGATACATACATTGCTTATCCTAAAAAGCAAACACTCACGTTGCTGTCTATTTCTTGCTTTTTATTCATTCAGTAAGCACTATATTTAAGACTATGCCTGGTGCTACCACATAGAATGGTGGAAAGTAAATATCTTTCGTACCATGAGATTGCGGCCACAATTCTCACCACTACCCAAAGCTGTTTATGTCATTCTGATCTATTTCCAGATTTCATCCACTAAGGAGGTGGCATGGTGTTAGTTACGTGGAGGCACTCAGTAAACATTTGTAGGGTGAGTTAGAACATGGGAGGTGAGTTGAAGGATACTTGGTCTGTCTCAGTTTTAGACTGTAATTCTGCATATCACTTTTCATATATTAATTCAACCTTCAACAGGCATGAGAAGTTGAAGTTATTTGCAACTAGCCAAGAAAACCAGAAGAATTACAAGTGTCTTTTAGCATATTAAGAAGAACTGGGAATAAAAACAAAAACAGAGCTCTGGATTCTTTTTTTGCTCAAAGTAATGACAGGAAGCTTTCTTTCATTTAACAATGTATGATGCAATTAAAAAAAAAAACCACCCTTCTTGATGAGAGAAGGAAAGAAACGAAGGAGAGAAGATAGGAGAGAGGGAGGGAAACAAGAAGGGGAGGGAGGAAGGAAAGGAGGGAAGGAAGGAAGAAAAGAAGAGTAAGTAGGTTTATCACCTTCCTTTGAATTTCTGCCTGCACTCTGGGTCATGT